AAAAAAAAAAAAAAAAACAGTAGATGAACATCCATCCATCCGTTTGGGCTTTCACAGGGAACATCATGGACCGTCTGTCAGACAGACAGATGACCATTCACACCTAAGCCTGATTTACAATCACCAATTAACCTAACATACATGTCTCTGGAGTGTGGGAGGAAACTACACAAGCCTCAGCTAGTCAGTCGATTCAAACTGGGCACTGGAAACTAAAAATCTCTCCAGAGAACTTTGGTTTGTTTTGGCTTTTCAGAGATTTACTACCAAGATGTTTCTCACTAGTTGTGCATCACAACGTGCACACAAACACACACATGAGCAGACAAACACAGATTGTCTGTAGACACCTTCATAATTCATAACTGTGTTAAAAACTTTCTGGTTCAGTAAACAGAAGAACAGAAGGAGCCAGAGACGCACTTTCTTTATTTTAATTAGACACTACAATAAGAAAAATCTTCTACATCCTCGATAAAATTGAAGCCATAATTTTGAGCTGAAATATATAAAATCAAATGTCTGTTTATTCAAGTGTTTAATCGTTGAGGAAAATGTGCTTGGTGTAAACTGGATCTATCCCAATCAAGTACATTTAATGTGACCAGATCCCTGTCATGGCGGGGTATGCCAGGGACTTTTATTAATGCACCCAAAAGCAGACGCTGGAGCGAGGGACTGCATTTTTAAACCAAAAGCGAGCCTTTATTAAGGCTGGTAAACATGTAGGAGTGACAACTAAACAGAAACCTAAACTGGGAAAAACTAAAAAACTATGAAAACTGTGACAAGACTGTAGAATGAAACGACTACGATGAGACGTAGAAGGAAAACAGACGACCTGACAATGAACAACGGAAGACGGGGGACTTAAATACACACAGGAGGTGATCAGGGGAAGTGGAAACACATGAGGAAACAGCTGACTAGAATTAACATAATGACGTCACAGGGGAAGTCAAACTAAACACAGTGACACACAACACTCTTTCAAAATAAACCAGGAAACACTGAGAAAATAACAATAATCAAAGAATAAAACTAAAACATGCAAAACACTGGGTCGCAGACAATTTCATTAAATGAAACAATTTACACTGTAGATATCCAACAAAATTACGTGGAAAATTTTAATTTTTTAAATGTATTTAAAGCAAAGTGATATTAACTGGTTACCTGCAGCATCACTATCATCTTAATAGCCATTCTTTGTATTGCATGTAGATCAAAGTGGTATAGAATGTGATGATCACACTAAATGTCTGAAACAGTTCATAACTTGTATTTCAATTTTTCTTTTCAGGGCTTCTTTGTGTCAATTATCTATTGCTACTGCAATGGAGAGGTGAGTAGGCAGTGATTTGATCACACTTGATAGAAGTGCTTTGACAGTATAACTAGAGAGCATGGCTGCTGTCCCTGTCAACATGTTGTTGATGCTTCAGATATACTCAGTTTTTACTACGTCATTGTATAATTACATGGGAAGTCAGTACTAATGGGTCTGACTTGAAGTTAGTTTTTATTTTGATCACAACAACACAGCTGCAGAGTTGTGTGTCTGCGACTTTCACAACACACTGTGTCCACACACAGAGTGTCAGGTTTTTGTACGCCTGTCTAAGTGCTCAAAGCTGCCTTTGTGGTAGTTCCTCCCACAGCTGGTGTTGGGATCACATTTTGCCGTGATGACACACTGAGAGACACGCAAACAGACTGACAACATGAAAACAATTCCAGCCCCGCTGATGCAGCTGCTGATATCTCGTACAAAGGGTTTAATTACTCCGGTGGTACATGTAATCTGTGGTCAGGCTGATGAAGCGTGTTTTTCTCCGTTCATCTGTGCTGCCATGTTATCTGACTCTTTATTATCTCATTCTGCACTGAGAGTGCTGAGCGCTGAATTAAAGTTTCCATTTCTGACACTCTGATCTTTACAAAAAACGTCTCCCTTTTTTTATGCTGTCGTTCACTTTCCCTTCGTGATCCTCAATATCCTGCGGAGCTCTCCTTTTTATTCTCCGGAGCCTTTCAGAGTCACCAAAAACCAAACAACGCCAAATTAAACTGAAGGTTTTTATATTCTGTTTAATAAAAGCGCCATAAAGCAATTTGTTTTTTGTTATTAACACTGAGCCAAATGACTCATGTAACATAAAAGGGTCTCAGCTAACACTTGGAATTAACACCCTACTCTGCTGCTCCGTGGAGCTTTAAGCTGCTCCTAATGCTCTGTTTTAGTCATTCAGCCCACGCGCTGCGTGCACAGTTGAATCTTTTTCATCCACCTGCATATAGGAAAGTGTCCAGCAAACCATCTCAGTGTTTGATACTACGATTCTCAGCCATGCCCGGGTGCAGATACTCGCCTGTTTCATCACTTCTGTATTTGGTGCATAGCATTCGTACTATAAGTTATTAGACATGGCGATTAGGAATGCATCAAGGAAGAAGTTTATTTTCCTCGTAATTAGGAGTGGAGAATTTATTTTTTTGTTTGTTATAGGGCAACCCCCCCAAAACAAAGCGAGTCAGTTTTGTTTTGTATGTAATTGATGCACAATTATTATTATTTTTATTGACATGGCTAAAGTGCGTGTGTAGCATTCATTAAACCTTATTCAGGAGCATTGTTCATGTATTCAAAGGCTTAGAGCTTATTGCTGCATGCACATAAATGTCATGATGAAATATTGTCATATTTAGAATCAACATATATCATTCCCTGTATACTGATATCACTTTGATCTTTAGATGGTCTATTGGCCTTGAAGGAAAGGTCAAGGGTCAAATATGACACGACGTTTTAAAACTTCTTACAGTGCTTTTTATATGTTGACAATACACACCACACTTGTCTACACCCTCACAAAGTTTTATCAGAATTTGTTCAAATGTTATCATTACAGACAGAAAACATGTCTACCAGTGCTCGCAAAAACAACTTCCTTATCAGAGATAAAAATAATGTTGTCTTTTCAGGCTTTGCTTTCTTTGTCCCTGTGCTACCTGTGCGAGGGTCACACAGTTTTACTGGACATCAATCCTTTCAAAATACCTTCGTGAGTGGGAAAAGGTTTCTGTGTTTGCGAATGGTGTATATAGGAGGAAGTGACACAATTAAATGATTAAATTAGCTGTTTGTTTGATGGATGAACTGCTTGTTCAGGTTAGGGTTGCACAGATTATCCCAGCTGGCACTGAGTGAGATGCCGCTTGCCTCCTTGATAGTTTGCTTGACGGTCACAGAGAGGCAGCTTGCCACATTGACACTCACACCTGCACCTTATTTACAATCACCAGTTAAACTAAAGAGCAGGTCTTTGGAGGACTACCTGCAGAAAACTGTGGTAAAATATGTAATTTCCACACAGGGATGTAAGCAACAATAAGAACTGAACCGGGGATGTGCATGCAGTCTGGCTGCTCTGATATTTTAAACAAAATGAAACAGGAACAAGGAACCACTGGTTAGAAAAGTATTCTGCACCTCAAAATATTTCTTCTGCACTCTGATCTTTGCAAAAAACAACTCAGCTTTGTGTATTTACTGGCTTTCCCCCCCCCACACCCCCACAGGTCCAGACAGAGATAAAGAAAACATGGACACGGTGGAATCTTTCCTTTGAGTGGGAGGGTCCAGTTGTGTGCGGCCGCTACCGTTATGGGTCCGTGGTCGTAGGTCTGAACAACAACAGCACCAGCCAGTCCCACCTGGCTGGAGCTGGGCTGTCCACACGCTCCACCACGCTCGTTTCCAGCCGCGTTTACCGGAGCACAGGTCCACCCACGATCAGCATGCATGCCACCCTGCCAGGATACGTAATCAGTAACTCGGATCCATCCATACCCGAGGAGCCTGAGGACAGCGGTCCAAAGAGGGTAGATGATATCTCACTGAGGGAAAATCTGCCTGTTCTAAATATGAGTGGAACGGCTGATGATGAGGAGGAAACGCTGTAGCAGACATCTGATGTCAGAGCGGGCCGTAGTAACCAGGCCAAACTGTTTACTCTTGTGTTATTCAAACTCTGAAGAGGGATGCAAAGACAAACCAAAAGTGTCACTCTGCAGACAAGAAGAGGAAAAAATGTCCCGGACATTCATAAGAAGAAGAACTAACGTGAACATTTTATACAGTACTGTAAATTGTGAAGAAATGTTAACTGTTGTCATTGCTATACTGTTTTTGCTGCCAACGATCATCAAAATGCTGACTTTTAAACTTCAGGTCACACAGGTCACGGTGAAAAATGAAGAAACACTGAATCAGTTTGACAGAGCCAGAGTCAACCCCACACATCACAGGACAGCCGCCACTTTCAGCAAAAGCTGTTGATGGCAGACTGTTTACTTACGAACATCATTTGTTGGAGCGTAAGCAGGCTGGCTAATAAGTGCTACAAGTTGGCAACACTGCTGCTACTCCAGACCCTTTATCTGACAGTGGCTTATTACCTTCAGACATTTCCAAATGACAGGAGGTGAAAAGCTTTTGAGCACCTAGTTTAAAAAAGGACTAAAATAATTAAGTAAAAAATAAAACAGGTTTTTTCCTCAGGGAGGGCAACACCACAGTGCCCTCTATTGCATCACAGCCACTGGAGGTCAGCTTGGAAATACGCTGTAGCATGTTTAACAGCGGTCGCCTGACGTTATGGAAATTTCAGCATCTTTTTCAGCCATCACCTTGATTGTACAGTATATCACATGAGTGCCACATCCAAGCTAGACTCGCACAGTAACGCAAAAATAAACATTACGGATTGGATGGTGAGGTAAAAATACAGCATGAGCAGCATGATAGCTAACGAGGGATAAAAAACCCATAATCTCAAAGCAAACTGAGCACTGATGAATCTTTGTTCTGGCAGACATGTTCTCTAAATTTGATCATACAGTAGATGTTTTCTTTAAATAGCTACAAGATTCATCGAACAGACAATGGGCTCTATTTTCCTGCAGGTGTAAAAACAGCAGCTGCAGAAATGTGTGACGCCACAGACATGCACACCTGCCAGCTAAAGCTATAACTATGATTGGAATCACTTGTCTGAGTTCAACATTAGTCTTTTCTCTACCTCAAACTGACGCACGTTTAAAAAGAATGTATATAACAAAATACAGCGTTTTTTTTCATCTATGGCATAATTTCATTTTTGTTTGTTTTTTTGAGAAAACAAATATTTTACCCTACTTGGGTTTAGAGCTTGGGTTTGTTGCTATATCAACACATTTTTAAAAACTTGAATACTAATTTGCATATATGAGCTTTTTGGGGCAACAACACACTGATGATGAAGTCTCAAAATTTGTATGATTCAAGTATCATACACTAGCTGTTAAGGAGTTAAGGGACCCTGTTATAAGCATTACATGTGGTTTGTTAAGGGCAATACCGTGCCATAGAGGGGCGGTCCTCATTTCCCTAAAGTTGACCCCCTTAAAAGATCAACTTGTTGGAGTGGGGCACGTCAGCTTGTATGCATCTTATACATGACCTTGAATCATGTTTTCTTTCATCTACCTCATGCTGATGTGTAAAAATACAGTAAGTTTGACTGAGCTTTTTACCAACTCACATCTCCGCCACAGTTTTAGCTGTGAGGTGTCCATGGACAGTGTAACAGGTGGAAGGACAAAGCTGCTATGGCATCGCTCACTGGTTTGTGAAATCTTGTTATCCAGTGTTTTCACCATCATGTTGTTTTGAAACACGATGTTACTGATTCAGGGCATTCTGCTGTATTAGTGTTATTGGATTTGTCCTCAGCCTTTGACATGGTTAACCATAATATTTTATTAACAAGGTTAGAATGCACTGTGGGCATTCGGGGTGAAGCCCTTAATTGGTTCAAATCATACCTTTTGAACAGGTCTTTCTCCGTTACCTTGGGTACTGATTCTTCCTCAACTGCATATTTATGCTGTGGTGTGCCCCAAGGCTCTGTGCTTGGCCCTATGTTATTCTCATTATATATGCTCCCCCTAGGCTTAATCTTTAAAAAATATAACATTTCTTATCACCTCTATGCCGATGATATACAGATTTATTTTCAATTAGAGGATGACGACATTGGTTCTTCATTGCACTGCTTCCTCGAGTGCATGAGAGAAGTCAGAGAATGGCTTTCAGACAATTCCCTTATCCTGAACGAAAAGAAAACGGAGATTGTGGTGTTTGACAACCATATCCCCCGGGGCCTATTAGCTGATACCTTTGGTTCCTTTGCTACATCTTTCTCTGACTCAGTTAGTGACCTAGGGGTTCTGCTGGACAGCGCTTTCAAATTTAATAAACAAGTGTCTTCAGTAATCAAATCTAGTTTTTACCAGCTGCGCCTTATTGCTAAGGCTAAGCACTATGTCCCTCACAAAGATCTTGAAAAGCTCATTCATGCTTTTGTGACTTCTAGATTGGATTACTGCAACTCCCTCTACTTTGGTCTTCACTCCGCTCTCCTTCATAGACTTCAGCTTGTCCAGAATGCTGCGGCTCGCCTTCTGACTGGCACTAGAAAGCATGCCTCTGTCACCCCAGTTCTTACTGATTTGCATTGGTTACCCATAAAGCATCGCATTGAATTTAAAATATTGTTGCTCACCTTTAAAATTATAAATAATTTAGCCCCTCGTTATCTTGCAGATCTTCTTAGTCTATATGTCCCTGGGCGAGCCCTCAGGTCTTCAGCCCAATTACTCCTGGCTCAGCCTAGATCTAGACTTAAATCTAGGGGTGACCGTGCTTTTGCCCTGGTTGCACCGAATCTGTGGAACAACCTTCCTATCGCTATCCGTGTGTCAGACTCCGTTTTATCTTTTAAATCCCGTTTAAAAACTCATTTATTCAACATAGCTTTTCCATCTAGTTAGCGTCCCTGTTTTATATTTGGTTCAATTTCTTATTTATGTACTTTATCTTTTAGCTATATCTGTTCTTAGTAACTTTGTTCTTATATTCCCTTTTATTGTTGTATAATTAGTGCCCTTAACCTGATGACATATGTGGTACCTTGTTAATAGTCTTTTATTTATTGTCTTAATTTTCCTGTTTTTAATTGTAAAGCACTTTGTGTACCACTGGTCTTTTAAATGTGCTATACAAATAAAGTTGTATTGTATTGTATTGTATTGTATGTGATGTGATGAAGGAGTTGATCTGCCTGGCTGCACGCTCATTTGCTCGTTCTTAGCCAATCCCTGGCTAATCCTTAAACCACCAAAATTTACAAAATCAGCATCATTTTTTTCCCACTGTGAATGTGAGTGATAGAGTCGATTAGCTCATGAGGAAACATTAACAGAACTCAGGGCCTACTTCCATTTTTCTTACATTTCTGTAGATAAGATTAATCTTTATTGTCATTGTACAGATAGTAAACAATGAAATCTCAGAGCACTACATTTGAAGGTGCATAAAGACAAGATGAAAACAGACATCATGAAAAGAGGAAGGAGGAAACATGTTACTACAATCACTCACAAACCAGCTTTTACACCTGAGATGTAAGCTCAGTGTTGGCAGTGTTAAGTTTAAGTGTATTTAAAGTCTTTACCGCCCATGGAAAGAAGCTCTAATGCCTCTGTTCCTCCTTCCAGAGGGCAGTTGGCTGAACAAGTGGTGCCCAGGATGATTCTCTTTGCTCTGGAGGGACATCAAGAGCTTTGAGTCTCATCCAAAGAGGTTAAAGGACATCCTATGGTCTTTTCAGCTGACCTCATCACCTCTGCAGTTTTCCCTGTCAGCTACTGCACAGCCAGCGTGCAGTAACAGCAGTGTCAGAGAGCTCCCAGCTGTAGAGCTGGTCACCAGCAGCCTGTCCTGCAGACGGTACAGAAATCTGCTTGCAGCCATATTTGGTCTTGATGTGTGAGTGCAAAGTTGTATAAAAGCATAAATAGTGAAAAAAAAGTCTTGCTGACTTTGGCCAAAGTAAGATTCAAATCGGGATTGGGAAGTGATCCGGGTTTTGTCCCGGTGGCCAGGAAAAAAAGAATGTGAAGTTATGGCTCTGTCCATATTCATTTAGATAGGGGAATAAAAATAACTGCCCACATGTTTGTTGGCCCTGTGGCTGCTGAGTGGAAAGACTTGGACAGTCTGTGAAATGCAGTATACTTTCTGTGTAATTTCTTACACACCTGTAGCCATCAGATTCAGCAGAAATGATGAATGAGTCCAAATCTGAGCAGACAAACTCTGAATTATGTCAAGATGATTATTACAACTATTTTTTATTTTGCCACTTCCAATTATCTTTATAAATACTTGCAGTTGTAGCTCATGTGCATTCAAGTACACTGTTCCAAAAAATAGTAATGTCAAAGTATCTTACTGTATATTTTACAGTTTTGTACTGTCTTTCTAGAATATCATTAAATTTACATAAGTAGACTGTGATCTTACATATCAAAGGTAAAATAACGTAACAGCTCTGTAAATATAGTAAAACACAATTTACTTGTTTTGTAAATATATTTTTTGTACATATGCATATTTAGATTGTAAAAATACATCCAGAAATGTATCATAATTTCACGGATATTTGTCTGTTATGTGAGAGAATCATCTGTTAAATTCAAATGTAATACTATGGGAAAATATATAAAATGATCGAAAATTAATGAGAATAATCAATAATTAAAGGACTATTTGAATTATAATTTTGCTGAAAATTTCATGTCACCTAGGTCTGATTCAATAATTAAGAGGTAACAAGTGAAAATATAATTAATAGGAATAAAAACTAAAAAAAACATATTGTGGCGTGTTGGGGGAACAGCTAGTTCTCTCCCATCATGCCTTGGGATGTGCTGCTGTTTAGATGTTCTTGTTTTATTGTGTATGGTTACGTTACTTTTAACTGTTATCTTGAATGTTGTGTTTATGCCGTGGTGCAGAGTCACTGACAGTTGTTGTTTTGTAGAGCGAGTGCTGTACCATCAGTGACTTCTGTTGTGCTGTTGTTAAACCTTGAGGCACATCGTAGCAAAAACAAGTGTTTTAATAAATAGCTCCCCCTACCAACTTGGGGTTGGATGGTAAGCTCAATCTCTCTCTGTGAGCTTCTTTGTTAAGATTCCTTTGCATGCCACAATGTAAAACTTTGAACAGCCATGCTGCGCAAATGCTAAATAATGAACAAGAAATGTAGAGTTAGGAATTGCAATTAATATAAATCTCAGAACAGAAAAAGGCCTCTGCACCTGGGGTGAGGGTGTGGCCATGAAAACAATGTGACATGCCATTGGATGTTGGGACACATAATAACATGACGCTAAGCATCGGCCAACGAATGTGAACTAACAACAACCAGGTAGCGGGTATGGCTGCGACCGTAGGAAAAAATCCTAATATGAAGGTATTTTATTGTGCATTTTACAGTAATGTTCTGTTCCTCTAGAATATCATTAAAGTTAAGTAAATAGACGTTGACTTCACATTTCAAATGTAAATTAACGTTAAATCACTATAATGTAATGAAACATAACTTTCATGATTATTAAATGTA